CCCCAAAACCCCAAAACCCCAAAACCCCAAAACCCCGAGATTTTGGGGAAAGTTGAAATATAACTTGGGAGAAAATCAGTCTCTGTTTTCCTGCTTGAAATAACTTCTATTCAGGTCTATCCCATAAATTATATGATTTCTGCCCATGAAACTGAAATCTTGAGAGATATTCTAAATCAATTATTCAAAAGGAACAGCTGGCAAGGTTAGTAGCTAGTATTTTATTCTATAATTTATAAGAAAATTGGTCTGGTTTGATCAGAAAAATCTAAACTAATTCGCAGGAAGATCAAATTGATCAAAATTATCAGAAACAGGTCTGAAATTCATTTCTGGGAAGCTTTCTATACTCTGTTTCATAGAAATAGCGCTTCAATGATTGGTGATTCCATATCATCTATCTCTTACCCTTATTGTGGAAATAATATATCTGCATTGTTTCAATTTGTCAAGATTCAGAATATCATAATAGTACATTTAGAGGTTCACTGTTTGTTAGTTCCAAGAATTTTCTCATAATTTTTAGCCAGTAGTTCATTTCTTTGTTCAAAGGCTTTCTGCTGCTACAGAATCAGGTTTTGGATTAATTTCTTAGAAATTAGTCTCAGAGATTACTTGTGTGTTGCTTGTTGGTATAACTAAGCTTGATAGCAGTCTTTGTGCAGGTGTTCGGCTTCTTCTTTACTCTAAATTAAGCACAAGGCGAAATATTTCTTGAAGATTTTACTGAATTTGTTCAGGATGCTTGTGTCAAGTTTGGCTCTTTCTTTCACATCCCTGCTTGTCATTTGCATCAGCTTGAGAAATTTCTGATCTGGAATGAAGTGAACAGCTGATAGATTCTGCTTACTCGTTTGTTAAATGCCTATCATTAATAGAAGATGTACCTTCTGAGAGACCATGGTTGTAGCCACGGATCCTGACTAGTTTTGAATCTCCCAAACTTCTCATTACTTATGGCAACCCATCTGAGGAGAACAGAGGTGGTTGATATGTCTCATCATTGTTGTCATAAGCTATATGTTAGGGCATGACAGTGTACTAAACTGAAACATAATTTTATTTAATAATTTATATCTTGCAAAATTTTTCCAGTCTCTTGGGGTTTTGGGGTTTTGGGGTTTTGGGGTTTTGGGG